AAGTTAATGGTATGTTAGCGACAGCTATGGTAAACACGGAATGTTCAAAGACAATTATAAAAAATATAACCTGCTGTTAAGAAATCAAAATAAAATCCAGAATCCTCCAAAGGTAGTAACTTTTCAGTAGTTATCTCAATTGAGGTTGATGTTATCCTAGAACAAAAAGAAGTTGTTTTTTTTGGAATCTTTAACCATTGGAAGTTGATGTGGTGCTTGGAAAGAGTTTCAAGTTGCTTGGAGTAGTTTTTATTTTCCCGACTGAAATGATTTTAAAAAAAGATAAAATCAATAAAATTGATATTAAAAATCGAGATTGTGAAGCAACATTTAATAGTGTCCAACCAATTATTTTAAAAAACTGGTCAATGCTTTATATCAAAATTGCAAGAGCAAAATATGGAAACAAACTAGGGGATTGGATCAATCCGATATAATTAATTGAATATAACGAAAATAAGATAGGACCATCGAAAGGGAAAATTCCTTTAATGACTGTTATCCAACAAAATAAAGATGATATGTCAGATCAATTTCAGACTGGAGGGAAGGTAATAGCTTTATTAAAACGCATACAAGAGGTGCAGATGTTGAGAAAATGAGTAAATGAGGATTAACAGAAACAAACCAGTAATTATTAATTTACGCAAGACTTATTTCAAATTAAAAACTGAGGAATCTCTTTGACTATTCCTAAGAGTGGTTTTTTGAAACAAAAAGTATTATTTGACTCATCTTTGCTTTGGATTAAGTGTTGCTCCACTCATCATGAATATTGGTGTGAGTGCAATTATTTATCAAGAAAAACTAGTGAAGAGAGGAGCATTAGTTTAAGTGGACAACATTTTTGTCAATAAGGAAGCAATAAATTTTGATAATGCCAAAAAAAATAAAAAAAATGCTTGTAAGGAAGTCAAACAGATTGGATAATATGAGGTTTTTATATTGAGATTACGTGTATACAAGGTTGGTGGTAAGTTGATGTGGTCCAGAGAGAATCGAGTTAATGCAATTTCGAAAAAGTTTTACAAAAGAGTAGTGTTTTTTGTTTGTAGGCAGTTAATAGGTCACTTGGTGGTTGGTTACGTGCAGTTGGTTACGTGCAGCTTGTCACTCGGTGGTTGGTTACGTGCAGTTTGCAGCCTTTTGAAAAGAAGAGTGGTTAGTTTGAAATTTGCAATGAAAATTTTAAGATTTACATTAAGACGTTTATGATGAGGTGGAAAATTGCGATCAAGCTTATGGTGATTGACCTGTTCATGGTGAGGAGGTTGACGTGTGGGTTAACGCTACCTCTTTGGCGGATGGTGTTTTTATTCAAACTAGTAAAAATAATGTAGAAGATGCAACATGGCTACAAAAAGAAATGTCTGATGATCACGTAAGAACGACTGAGCTGGATGTTGTAATGCGAGGAACAAATATGGCTTTGACAAGGAAACTATAGAAAATCACTATATTCACAGGTTCCGTGACAGTGTTACAATGGGTCTCTGATGGTCTCACCGGTAAATAAATAATGTTAATGTAAAAGTTGTTCCTTCAAAAAATAACTTAGCTGACGCATTGACAGGAGTTTAAAGAAGATTGTTTATTAAACTGACAGATGCTAAGCATTTGAGTAAATCCGTTGGGATAGTAGTTGCAGAGGCTGCATCTATTTCTAGCATATATAAAAGAACCGGACACTTTAGAGTAATTTAAACGTTAAACTTTTTTTATAAAGTTCTAACCGCTACTGAAAATGATGCTCAAGATGTAGTTTAAAATTGCGAACCGTGTCAGTGAATATATCCAGCGCCTGTACAAAGAGAAATGAAAAATTGAGTCAAAGGAAAATTGAGTTCAAAAGTATATTGAGAAAGAGTGGCCATTGATATTACGCAATTTGTCAGATGATATATTTTAACTCTAATTAATTGCAGAACTTCAAAAGTATTTGAACTCTAATTAATTGCGGAACAACTTTCAAGTTCATACGGAAGTATTGCCATAACTCGAATACTCCGCCCTATCTTTTGTGAGCGAGAAGCGCAATTTGAACTTTTGACTGATAACGAAGCAACTTTTAGAACTGAGGAGTTACGAAGTTTTCTTGATGGTTGGGGAGTGCGCACAAGATTTCGAGCTGTTTAATATCCCGAAGGAAAAAGAATTGTAAAACGAAATCATCGTACAATAAGGAGAATTGCAGAAAAATCAAAAATGTCAATACCGGAAACAGTGTATTGATACATAGTCTCAGCTAATAAAAACCATGCAAGACCAATTGAAAAAATATACAGGTATCGAATTGACGTAAAAGGATTGAGAAACAGCAATCTTCCAGAAATGCTAACATAAACAAAATGTTTAAAAATGGCAGTAATTGCAACCACCGAACGCATATAATTGAAACCACCGAACCTAAAGCACATAACTGAACGCACATAATTGAACGCACATAACTGAACGCACATAATTGAAACCATCGAACATAACTGAAACCACCGAACGCAAAGTGCCAAGTTGTAGTAGTTAACGGAGTTACACGTCACGTAAGACATATTCGATATCAATACCCAAACATTAAAAGTCAAAGTAACACAGACAGTGATCAGGGGTTAGGGTAATGGGCTTTAACCCCATGTCTTGCAGACATAGGAGCTCTGATTAACATCTTGAAGTTACTTTTATTTTTGTAACAAAAATAAAAATATAAACTTTATTATAAAAAATAAAGGTGTTTTTATTCATTAGTAAATAAACCTCCGAAGAGCAATCTTACTTGTATTTTGTTTTCAAAAGTTCAACAAATCCAGTATTCAATTTTTTTAACTCCAACATAAATCTGAATGAGTTTAATACACACTAAAAATAAAAATATAAAACAACAAAAATAAAACAAAAAACATCAAAAGCATTTGATGTCTAGGTTAAAAGCTTAGATTTTTTTTTGCTGCAGCAAAAACAATTCCTCGGATTTAACCTAGTCTTTTGATTTTCTCCTCCATAAATCAGAAAACGATATGTTATATTCAAAATAATTTGGTTTCAAAAACAAAAATTCAACGGTACATGCAGTGGTTGTACTAGTCAAACAAATATCAAGTGCATTCAGTAGTAACTATTTTACCTTAGGAGTTTTCATTGATCAGTGAAAAGCATTCGATACTGATAAACATAATATACTAATAAAAAAACTTGAGCACTATGGAGTAAAAAACAACAATTTACTTTGGTTCAAAAGTTATTTGACTGATTGAAAACAATATAAATTGTATGAATAAAAAACAAACATTCCCGTGTCCCGTAACTTGTAGAGTTCCCCAGAGCTCTATTTTAAGCCCACTGTTGTATTTAGTGTACGATAATAAACTAAATTTAGCAACAGACCTATTAATTTATGTTCTTTTTGCAGATGACAACATTCTTTTTTATTCGCACAGAGATTCCTTACGGAAAAATTCCATGGAAAACCCATAGAATTCCATGAGTAAGCCATGGTTTTCCCATGGAAAACGGAAATTCTATGGAATTTCCATGGGTGAATTTCATGAAAATTGAAATCCCATGAAGTTTCTATGGGTGAACCATGTTTTTTTTTCATATCTTATGCTGCGCCATGGTTGTTACGAAAGCGCTTTTAAAGATGGCGTCATGCGCTCGTAGAGTTACGATTACTTTTAACTTGAGTAAACAATACTTACTGCATCTTCTGTTTTTCTGTTAAAAAGACTATAAATTATATGTTTTTTATAATACATCACATTTATATGATTCAAACCAAACATACAGACATAAACAACTAGATATGTTTATCATATTATAATGCATTATAAAATGAATAATTTTTAATTATATTTAATTATATATCATTTATGCATATACTTATTTTAAGTGTTTCCAGTAGTTTTCCTTACTTTACATAACTTGCAATAGTATAGCAAGTATTTCAAGCAAACCAGTTTTAATTTTAATGCTTACTTGGCAAATTATTTGCCGAATAATTATTATTTGGTTTACAACAAGTAAATGTTTAGTTTTAATCTACATTAAATAACTAGTGTATAAGTGTACATAGTGTAATCTAATGTACATTAAAACTAAAATAATAATTATTATAAAACTTATCTAACATATTAAACAAACTTATCTAAAATAATAATATATAAGCAGTATATCAGATAAGATTAGATTAGATGTAAATAATGTAATATAATTATTGTTTATAAATTCTTTTATATTTACTTTATTATGTTATTTAACTTACTACATTATAAGCCGACAGGTTTGACCGGCAATATAAATAATGTTGTTCATTGTTTATATTTTTATAACATCGTCAGTTTTTATATGCATTTAATATTTTAAAAATAGTTCAAAAGCTATCAAAAAAAAATGATGAATTGAGTTTATATTAACCAGAAAAGATATAAACGTAATCTTTGGGATTCAACTTTTAAGGATGTTCGAAGAACCACTTTGTTTAAGAAGGAAAACTGTGGTAATATTTTAAAAGTATCAGAAAGGTAAGTTAGTTAATGCACAAGATTTTACTTCATAGTTAAATATAAGCATATAAAAGCAATGTTTATAAATAATACACTATAATTTATTATAATACACTATTATTTATTATAATACACTATTATTTATTATAATACACTATTATTTATTATAATACAACTATTTTTATTTGTTTATATTTAACTAATTTAAAGTGCTCGTCTTTAGTTAAAATAAATTCATTTATGCACACACTTTGATATTTATTATGTTTTAAATGGTAAAGTAAAAATATAATAAATTTATAAATTTAATGGTGTGTGTGTAAGTTCTTTTATTTTATTTTTATCATTTTATTTAAATTACTGCATTATAAGCAGGTAAGTTTGACTGACAATATAAATAATGTTGTACATCATGCAGGCAGCTCAGACATAGAAGTAAATTTTTATTTAAAATTACAATTTATCAGTTATACTATATTTGTTGCTACCTTGTTCTATATAAATGTTGCTAATATGCGGTAAAATTTATATATGTGTATAAATCTTTTCATTTAAACTTTATCATTTCATTTAAATTACTACCTTATTAACAGGCAGATTTGACCGGCAATATAAATTTTTTGCTTTATAATATATTAAAAGATGGTAAGGACGTGAAGAAAACAGGTGTGTAAATGATGTTGTACATCTTGCAGATAGCTCAGAAGAAGTAAGTTTTTTAATTACAAAAGTAAATATATAATATAATAATTGTTGCTGCCTTGTTCTATATAAATATTTCTAACATGCAGGTAACATTTATATATGTATTAGTTTGAATAAATCATTTTAATTAAGATACATTATAAGCAGAATGTTTGACTGGAAATATAAACGATGTTGCACATAATGCAGATAGCTTAGGCGTAAAGAGGTAACAATCTAATAATTTTTTTATATAAATAATGATATATTCATTGCTACTTTTTTTTATATAAATGTTACCTAAAATTTTGCAACATTGATTATTGTGTATAATGCCTAATTATAAAGTAAGTTTTAATCGATAATAATTATAAGTAAAATGAATTAGTAAACAAAGAAAACTACTTAGAATGTATGTAATAGTTGAATGATGTATTGTCTAGATTGGTGAAATGGAGAATGAGACTAACTACGGTCAAAAAAATAATGAATATCAAAATGTGAATGGTACTTTGTTTAACATCTACCTGTTTCTATAGATACAGTACAGAAGCATTTATAAATGGGCTTGATATTTTTATCATTAAAACTTGAATTTATTATAAAATTTATAAATACTATTTTTATCAAATAGTTTATATAAAATAGTAAACATGTAAATTGTTTTATTTTCTGTAAAAATTGTTTTCTTTTATATTTCAATTGATTATCACTATGTATATCACTTATAGTACTATATTACTTGTATTTTTTTGTTTTATTTATTTTCAGTATGTTATACATATAAATGCATTAAATATTGTGGGGAAGTCAAGATTTGATGTTTTAGGTGCATTAGAGTTATTATTTTTTAAAGATTTGTAGAATTTAACAAGATTTAAATTTTATTTTGTTTATTGATTTTATTTGGAGAAAGCGATCCCATAGATTAAGCGATCCCATTAGATAATATTAGTGTGATAAAATTTGATTTTATGATTTAATATGACAATTCAAATAACATTAGATCAAAAAAACTTGAAAACAAATCATGCTTTTTTACCATGAAAAATCCATGAGTTTTCCTTGGAAAGGTGTTAATACCAATAGAAATTCCATTTTTAACAGTATGACCAATATTACAAAAGTATATTTGTGTTAAAGTATGTTTTTAATATATAATAATACTAGTAAGTATAACATTTATAAATATATTGGCAAGAAATGTTTGCTTTATAATCCCCTTGGAAATTTTAAATACATTTATTTCAAAGTTAAAAAATTGTAAAATTATTTGTTAAGAAGAGTTAGAATTAGTTAAAGAAACATATTTTGGTGGAATTTTTAAATGTTTGTTTTTATTTGCCAATAGTTTTTCATAGTTTTTAATAGAATAAAAATAATTATTTAGTTGATACTTTACACCTTTAATACAATTTTTTTGACAAATTTTCATACAAATTGCTATAACTTGATTTGTTATACTACACTTTTATACTAGAAACACAATGTTTGTAGTATAACAATGCATCTTCATTTTTTTTTACCTTTTCGTATGAAGGAGAAATCTTTGTCTAAGTAGAATATTAAACACAAGATAACCAAGCAAATATTTTTTTCAAACCATGCGATATGTTTGCTAAAAAATTGTAACAAAAAGTTGATGAAAATAGTTTTATTAGAAAAACTCACTAACTTCCACTTTTTGAGCCAAAACTCAATCCTGTGTTGCTTATCTCATTCAGCTAAATTGCCATCTTTTAATATAAATTTTTCTTTAAGACAAAAAAACATTTTTTCATCATGGTCAAAAAATTTCGTCTCCGTTTTGTTCTATAAACATTATTAATATTTTTTTGAAACTTTATTTTATCTTCATGTTTTTTCGACACCTAAAAACTGCAATCTTCTAAGCCTTCTGTCAATAACTTTAAACTTCTTTTTTATTTTCTGTTGATTCCGAACATATTTTATGACTGCTTGCAACATTTAAAGTAAATTTGTAAAAAAAAATGTAAGTTTTTTTTATCTTAAAGTTTAATAGCACTTTCATTTTTCTGAAAATGACTTTTAGCATATTTCCTACTCTATTCTTTTGTATAATTATAGTTCTATTCAAAGTCCTCACTAAACTATTATATTCTGATAAAAGAACATCCAGCCAAGTTTATTAGTGACGGATCCTAAAATTTTTGATGGTTTAATTTCAAATTTAAAACATTTTAATTTTTTTTACTTATTGTGTAGAGGAGGGGAGGTCTATAGCCCTAATATTCAGCTAACGCCCTCTCTCTCTTTTCTGGACCCATCACTGAAGTTTTTCTACTAATAATTGAAACTAAAGTTAAAGTGATTCAATAACAAAAAATTATATATTTTTTTTAAATATAATATGAACTGTATAAAACAAATTATAGAAAATAAAAAAGTTTTTTAGAAAAAAAACGTTGCTTTGAAAGAATTTGTACTTTTTAGATTTCTCTTCTAGTATCTTCAAGATTTAAAAGTGGTTGCTTGCACCCAAATTGGAAGTGAAGATGTTGAAAAAACTCTTTAGCCGATGTCTTTTACAGCTAGAGGTTTAATAAATTCGAAAAATGTATGATTCCGCATCTGCACAAGGAAAAGGTTTGACTAAATTTTTATGATTTCTGATTGTGGAGACAAGTTGTACTTACTCTTCAATAAATCGATGTTAGGAGATTTGAGATAGAGAACATGTTGCAGGCTTTTAGCTTAAATATCAAGAATGCCTTGTTATGTTAAACTTAAGATTAGCATAGCAAGATTGTAATATTCGTGGAACCTTATTGTGAGAAAATTTAATAAAATATCATAATGATTTTTATTTTATATTATTTTTTATACTATTGTATTATTTATACAAAAACTTATTGACAAAAGAACCAAGACAAAAGATAAAAGTTCACTAGAAGCATGTTAAGTCGGTGTTTTCCTTGAACTACAAGTTTTTAGTTTTATTACAGATTTATAATTGTTAAATTTTAAACTGATCTTAATTATGAACTGTGCTATTACCGTCAACTCGTTTTGTATAGTGCAACAGCTTTTCATATAGTTGTAAAACTGTATAACATTTATTAATGCTGCAAATTAAAGTAACTAACACTAGTCATTTTAAGTGTAGCTAGTTTGAAGATACTTAGCAATAAAATGTTGAAGTTTGTTAAATGAAAAGATCAGTGTGATTCAATGGCTGTTTTTTATTTGATTGTTAAACAGATAAAGCAGTTTCTTGTGAAATCTTTTAAGTATGGAAATATCAGGTCCAGTGCAAGATCGAGATTCACCCCGCATGCGTTAGACAACATGATTTAAACATGTAGTTATGACAAGCTCTCATAACAAGTTGCAACCAACGGCAAGCTCAAAAAATGTACAGATTTCGATTAGTCAGTCGGTAAGCAATGTCATTGCGTTGAAACATAGTTATTAAATTGATAATTTAATGATAATTATTGACTTAAAGACAATTATTAAATTCACGTTGAAGCATAATTATTAAATTGATAGTTTAATGATAATTGTTGATTGAATGATAATTAATAAATTCACTTTAAAAGTTCCAGAACGACGTGAAATATTGGCTCTTTTAACCCAAAATACAAATCTTTTTTTTTTTCAAAAAGTTTAAATCTTTAACTTGAGAATATTTCAAATTGGTTATCGTTTTATTCTGTTAGTGTTTGCTCTGGTGATTCTAGGCAGCAGCTTGCATTTTTTAATGTCTAAGTTATTTCGGACACAAAATTAACCTTTAATTTATTCACTAATTTCTTATCAAACTAAGTGTTTTTGATAGTGAATATTGGTTTGCAAAATTAAATGTCAACAATACTAGACAATTTAAATTTTCGGAAATGCAAGGATCGACGTTTTGATTGATAAACGTTTGTATTTTTTCTCTCTAAAATTGCTCACAATATTGAAGTTAACTCATTAATGCTGATTATTGCTACTTGGAGTAGAATTGTTGACTAACTTATTTTTTTCACTATTGAAATAACTAAATTTGGATCAGCAAGACAAATGTGGTTTATTGTATTGTCGTATACTGTTCAAATAATTCAGCTTGCAAGAAGTGTTGTTCTGCTAAAGCTAATTTTAGTTTATAAAAATATTGTTCTTTGCGGTCATATGATCGTCTTTCGCAATAAAACCTCTATTTCTATAAACCTCTATTTAACTAAACTATTGTAGAAATATTTTACTAGCTTTTTGTATAAACATATATATATATATATATAAATACATATATATATATATATATATATATATAATATATATATATATATATATATATATATATATATATATATATATATATATATATATATATATATATATATATATATATATATATATATATATATATATATGATTATAATTACTCTTTTTTAAAAACAGAGGAAACTATTTTGTTAAATAATGTTTTTAAAATCAACTTTTTTTTACATTAAAATTTATATATTTTTCAAATTTTTGTGATGGTTCTTTAAAACTCAAATTTTTTTTTCTTTTTACAATTAAAATATAGGTATCTTAATAAAAAAAACATGAAATTCTAGTTGATAAGTGAGTATTCAAAAGTCCAAGTAAAATACTTTTAAGAAAACTAGACAAGCTTAGAGTAATAGAATTTATGTTTTCTTTAACTATTATAATGATTTTAGCATATAAAATTTGAAAATGGAACAAACTTTAAATTTTTTTTAATGTGGATCAGCACTTTTTAAAAATTTATTTCATTATTTGTTAATTTGTCATCAGGACCGACTAATTTAGAAAATACAGATGAAATGTGTAATAAATATATTACAAAGTTGTATGTAAAGTCTTAAACTATAAAAGTTGTAAAAGAACCACGTTTTTTTACAGTTTTGATAGTTTAAAACGTATAACAAGATAAAAAATTAATTTGAAACTTTAATATTATCTTTCAAACTACATTATCAATTTAATTCAAAAAACGAAATAAAAATAGAGCAAAAAAGTTTAAAGATCAACATTAAAGGTGTTTTATTAAATCTTTTTAGAACTTGAATATTTCTATTACAAGCATATTAGATGCACAAATCTTCTAATTATTTATCACTATTTATCTTATTTATTATGAATCATTGAAGCTTACAGTGGTAAATAATATATAACAATAGAAAATTCAAAAACATTAAATTTCATTCTATGTTTACTAAAGAAGATAAAGGTGTTAAAAAGTTTTATTCATAACATCTAAAATTATAAAAAAAAATCAATAACATAAATACTGAAGAGAATGACATAGATACTGAAATGAGAAAAACGTTGGTACTGAAATGAATAACAAAGATACACAAGTGAATAACTTATAAACTAAAGTAAATAGCGTAGATACTGAAGTGTATTATGTAGATATTAAAGTTAGTAACGTATAAACTAAGTAATAACGTATAAACTAAAGTGAAAAAAGTAAATGCTAAGTGAATAACTATAAACTGAAGTGTATAAAGCAGATATAGGAATGAATATGAATACTGAATAAGATAGCGAAGTAAATGACGTAGTTACTAGACTTAATAACGTAGATATGTGACACACTTTAAAAAAGATACCATAATAATGCTGGAATAGGCTCAATACAGTAATATTGGAGCAATAGGTTTAAATAAAAGATAAATGTAATTTTTGTTTTACAATCTAGGTCTACAAGCATTTTTATTCTGTTTGATAAACATAAAGGATTATTTAAACTTTAGTTCACCATTAAA